GGTTTCAGATGCCTCAATCCAAAAATTTGGATGAGAGGATCTAAAACCGCTTTTCGAAGCTTCAGCCACTTCAGGTCATTTCAGAGGTTTCAGGTTTGCCTCCCAAAACTCCTCAAATGACCTGAAGTGACACACAACAACGTTGACGGTTGAACCAAAACAAAAACAGGTGAAAAAAAAACGAAAAAAAAAAATAAAATCAGACTTTCAAACCACCTGAATCTCCTGAAATGACTTGAAGTGTCTTCATGCCATTTCAGCGATTTCATACCTCTGCTAACAGACTTCAGAATCTTTCATTCTGAAATTTCAGTAGGTCATTAACCACTTGTGGTCACATCCGCTCCCTTACGAGAGCAAGGATCACTATATTATTACGCACAAGGCCTCGGAGCCTCCTACTTTAAGGAGCTATGGTATCGCAAAATATCTGGAGAAGTGAGAGCTTCATGCTAGCCAGAGTCAGTGGTCGAAGAAAGAGATTATAGAAAAATTCCTATTTAACGTGGATCCAAGTCTCGGCAAGGAAGTTAAGGAAGCCCGACCGAAGGATGGGAAATGGACTACGTATAAGAAGAACCTCATTGAGCTTTACAAATTAGAGGATAACAAGTACTCCATCAAGGACCTTGAGACTATGACTCAAGATGAAGATGAGAGCGTACGGGCATTTGGGATGCGTTTCCAGAAGATCTCTGACGTGCTGATGAAGAAGGGAAAGATCTAAGAGGTCGAGCGTTGTACTATCTTCATTGTCCTAAGGCAGAGGCAAACGACTACAAGGACTTGGTATGGAGGGGAATGAGGAGACGTAACTTCTCTCTCTACAAGGAGTATGTCAGTGATAGGTGTCCTGATTTCAAGGAGTATCCCTGGTCAGAAAAGAATGAAGCCGTGGATGAGGAAGTGAAGGAGATAAGGGACATGGTAAAGGGATTGACAAGATAAGTTACAAAGATTGTGACCACCACAGGAACCACGACTTACCGGGACAAACCCGGAGGGCCCTATTCACTTCGCTGGGACCGGAGGAACACCAATTCCTGGAGGAGTGTAGAGGATAAAAATCCTCGAACGCTGACTGATTATCGTGCGAGGGAAAGGGAGAGAGACGATGAGCCATGGCGACATAGGGATGATGATATAGACCGGGACCGCAGGGCTCGCGAGACGTATGGGCGAGCTAGAAGACTGGATGATTACTCGCGCAGTCCTTGCTATGAGGCCGATGGGGGTAGAGGCGATTCTTGAGGCCGGTGGGAGTCAGATCAGGGCCGGCGAGACGGGTACAGAGATAGTAGATATGAGAGATCGGACCGAGATGGATATAGGAACGACAGATATGAGAGGACGGATCGAGATGGATACAGGGGTGGCAGGAATGAGAGAGGAGATCGAGACGGGGACCGACAAGATGACTCGGGCGGTCGGTATGACCGCGGGGGATTCGCGAGGGCGCAGCGTGACGATTCGCGGGGGTGGTACGATCGAGGAGATCGACGCGATGAGTCACGCGGGCGATACGACCATGGGGACCGTCGGAATGACTCACGGGGACGATATGAGCAAGGAGGATCCGGAGGAGACCGCCGCAATGATTCGCGCGGCCGGAACGAGAGAGGGGGATATGTTGTGTCATCCGATCCGCATACAAAGTCCCCTGATCCCAGGGCAACGAGAGGTTGACCTCCAGGAGCGCGGACGAAAGGCCACCCACTCCTAGGAACTCTTGCGTCTACTGTAGAGGAGATGATCATATCAAGAGAGACTGCCCGGATCTCAAACGGGCAATAGATGAGGGACTTGTCGTGCTTGATGACCGCAAGTATGTCAAGTGGGAAGATGATCCGGGAGACGTGTCGATGTTCCCTTCGATGAATGAGAATGTTGAAGCAAGGAGAGTAAAGCCGAGTAAAAGAAAGGAACCGGTTAGGAGCCAGAGCATCAAGATAACTTTCGAAGGAGATACGGCAACCACACCCATAAGGGTAGCAGCTACCAAGTCGGCAAGGGGGTCTACATCGAAGAAGACCGACACGGATTACGTGATGGCGGAGAAGGACGGACAACGGATCGATGGAGAGGAGGTAAATCTTTCGCCACGAAAGGAGGGAGGGAAGAAGTTCTTGATGAAGAGTTCACTGTATGAGATTGACACGGTCGAGCCATTGAGACGGGTCTTTCGGCAGCCCATGCAGTGCTCTATTCTGGAATATATGGCGGCGTCCAAGCCGGCTCGCGACGAGTTACAGATGATCACGCGAAAGACTCGCATACCTCTATCAGAGGAGGCTCAGGTGGCCTCAAAGGCGGATGCTCGTACTGTAGCAGTATCTTAGGTGACAGCTAGAGCGGATCGCATGACGACAGTTCTTCTTGATGGGATGAAAGGTGTGCCTCCAGACAAGTTTTACATACTTGGAAGTGGGACCGTGGAGGCGGTCCTAAACGATGGAGCGGTTCGGGATGTTGTGATCGATAACGGCAGTGAGGCTGTCATCATAGACAAAGATCTGGCAGTGCAAGTTGGACTGGGCCTTGATAGGTCGTAYCTATTCGAGATAGAGACGGCTGATGGGAGAAAGCAACAGATCATCGGGGTTTGTCATAAAGCAGCCATAGAGGTCCAAGGGGTACGAGTGACCCTACCAGGCTTTGCAGTCAAGAAGTGCAGGCGGACGTGGTTGAGCCATGTGCATGCGGTGACGATAGAGCGACCGGACGGGAGTCAGACATTGTCCATCAAGAAGCTAGATGGGGCGCGGATTATGATTGAGACAGTGGAGCCTCGAGACCCGAGGAACATAGCAGCTCTCGCTGTGGATGCAGGACCCAGTGATCAGATTAAGACATTACCTATCTCCGGCCGCATGGTGTGATTTCGCGAGAAGAAGTATGCACCACTGCTCACAGGAGAAGAAGGCCGGATTGTAGAAGTGGAAGATTTAGGGAGTCGGCTGATAGTGGACGACAACTCGTATCCAAAGGAGGCAGATGAGGAATTTGGCGGCGTGGTATCTGTGTCTTTTTTAAGGGCACAGCCCCCTACGGGGGGCTACCCAAGCGACACAAGCGAGTAGCTCAGAAAGTTAAGCCAGCAGCGGTGGGCCGCGAGCGATTTGCACTGGAAGGGATATCGGAAGAAGAGATCGCAAAGGAAATCAAAGAAAGAAAGGAAAAGGAGTCGCAGTGCCTAACGGAAGAGAGAATAGCAGGGATGGACATCGGAGATGGAAACATGACCCCACAGGAGCGAGAACGTGTGATAGAAATCCTAAAGACCTGCGATAACGCTATAGCTTTCAGCGACGCGGAGCGAAGTAGGGTTGACCCTCAATACGCTAAGCCAGCAAGGATTTACACGATTCCACATGTTCCTTGGAATGACGCAGAATGGAAATACGTCCAGAAGAAGAAGTTATCGCTTTCCTGAAAGAGAAGATGACTTCCCATGCTGCATAGCCATCTGACAGTGCTTATGCTAATCGATGGTTCTTCCTACGAAAGCCGAATGGCAAGATCCGGTGAATCTAAGACCTTCAGAAGGTCAACGCAGTAACAATTCGAGACGTAGGCTCCGTGCCTCACGCCGACTTACTGGCTGAAGGCGCCGCGGGCAGGTCGATTTACTCGGTCTGCGATCTGTTCTCAGGCTATGATAAGGTAACCCTTGATCCCAGGGACAGACACCTCACGACTATGCACACTCCATTGGGACTGATACAGATGATGGTCGTCCCTATGGGTTGGACTAATGGGATAGCCGTTTTTCAGAGAGCCATGGTGGCCGTCCTGAAGAACTTTATTCCTGACAAGGTTGAAGCTTTTCTGGATGATTTTCCTATAAAAGGACCAGTAAAGAAAGATGAGACAGAGGTCGTGCCAGGGGTTAGAAGATTCGTCGAGCAGCACCTAACCGATATTTGCGCGATACTTGAGCAGTTGGACGACGCTAATTTGACGGTCAGCGGAACAAAGAGTCGGTGGGTCGTCTCGACTATTAAGATCCTAGGTTTTATCTGCGACTCAAGAGGGCACCGAGCGGATCCTGCAAAGCTAGACAAACTCCTGAATTGGCCGACGCTGTTGCATAGCGTTACCGAGGTCCGTCAATTTCTGGGAGTGGTCGGTTACTGGCGGATTTTCATACAGAGGTATGCGGAGAAGGCTGAGCCATTGAGGCTACTCCTTCGAAAGACTGAAAAATTCTACTGAGATTCTTCGCAGGAACTCGCTATGCGAGAGCTTAAAGACGAATTTAAGGAGGGAGGGTGTGTACTGGGCGTGCCATTCTTTGATGATGAGGCCGGGAGACCCTTCATAGTATCCACGGATGCTGGACCTTGTTCAGTTGGTGGGCTGCTATCTCAAAAGGACGTTGAAGGGAAGGAAAAACAGTTAAGATTTGAGAGTAAGACACTCAATACGGCTGAGCGTAACTACAGCCAATTCAAGAAGGAAGTGTTAGCTGTTCTGCGGTGTCTAGACACGTTCAGACACTATATCTACAGACAGCGGTTCATCTTAAGAGTAGATCCCACAGCGGTTGCCTCTGTCCTCCAGAAGGATTTTAGTCTGACGGACCCGACCATCGTACGATGGTTGATACGGATTCAACTCTATGACTACGCAGTTGAAAGGATATTGGGTACCAAGAATGCCGTGGCGGATGGGCTTTCTCGGATCCCTCTTGAGGCCGAGCGCCCAATAGTAGCTGGAGCCCTGACGATGGCGGAGCCGAGACGCGTCGATCGATTTCTGGTTAACCTCTACGAGGGCAAATACCGAACGATCGGGCTACATTTGTCAGGAGAGGGGTGTCAAGATTCAAATATCCGGAGGCAAGCAGCCCAGTAGTGCCTTAGAGCGGGTCATCTATTCTGTAGACCAGTCGGGTCGGGGATGCCCTTACGAGTAGTCTGTGATCCGGAGGAGAGACAAACGATAATTGCGGAGCTTCGCGACGGGGTAGTCAGAGGACATAGAGGAGTCAAAGGGGCCTACGAAAAGGTACGCAGGTGTACTGGTGGGAAGGACGATATAAGGACGTCGAGAGATACTGTATAATCTGCGAGGAGTGCCAGAAGAGAGCTCTTGTGAAATACAAAGAGCCACTTCATCCATCCTATCCGACCAGGCCAAGGGAGAAGGTACACATCGATCTGATGAAGATGTCGAAAGGAGTAGGCAGTATGAACTATGTTGTGAACATACGAGACGATTTCACTGGGTTCGTGGACGGCAGACCTATCAGGATTAAGACGGCAAGGGAAGTGCAGAACTTCGTCCTAGAGTACTTATCTAGGTATGGTTGTGTCAGCAAGATAGTGATGGATAGAGGGGCGAAACTTCTAGCCGACGAGGTTCAGAGTGTGTTCAGGAGAGCCGGGGCGAGAGTTTTGATAGCCACCGCCTACCACCCGCAGTCGAACTCTCCAGTAGAGAGGGGACGCCAGACCCTGATAGCGTCACTATCCAAGTGGTGCAAAGGTAAGAACAGTGACTTGCCACGATACTTTCGATACGTGATATGGGCGGACAACGTCACGGTCCGGGCTAGCACAGGAATCCACCATAAACCTGGTGGTTTGGGCGGCATTGTCCCCTGTCGGCGCGAATACCCTTACAAGGGTATCCGCCCTGGTTTTTGCGAGTAAACAGAAAGTTGTTTGGCTTAAAATTTAAGTATACCACGCTAGGCGTGACCGCGTCTGTAATTTACGTTGACAGGATGGTTGACCACAATGGCGAGTGCGTAGGCGCGCAGGTTTAAGGCGTGCGTGATTCTTTTCTATTGTTGATCGCAAAGCCGGCCCAGACCCCGGTTGTTTTGCTTGGTGATATTATCATTATTTATTTATTTTTGATTAAGCAGGAATTAAGAATATTTTCGTTTAATTGGTACATATTGACCGAGTCGAGCGCGCGTGCGGAGAAACGACCCCGACGACGACATCGGCAACGATGGCGATAGTGTGACTGTGATAGGCCGGCGCGGACTCTCGGTGGCCGTGCGCGTAGATGTGGGCTGAGGAATGGCGCAGCACGCTTTTGCGGCCCTGAACGGCCGCGCCGTATCATCCTATATGGAGTCTCGGGTGTAGCTGTTGTAGGCTTGGGCTTAGCCCTATAGGTTACGGCAATGGGTTGACGATATGGAGGTTCGGGGATCGAGGTTAGAGGGCATCGGCGCGGCAACGCAGCGGGGTGTCGCGGAAGGAATCATTGGGGCTGAGGGCCACCAGGGCTATCCCCCTCAGTTTTTTTCGGCGGTGCGGCGGCAGGCCCGGTCCACGGGGCCGGTAGGGTGCCGACAGTTCCCGTCCTTTGTTTAGGAATTTTTATATGTATGTGTTATTTTATTTTACTTCTAGTCATTGTTTTCACTATTATGCGCRGCCCCGTTTGACTTGGGGCATGGTAACYCGGACGCGAGCCTGGCCCGGTGCGTGCGTGAGTGCAAGAGGGAGGCCGTGTGGCCTTCGGAGGAGTCGCGGGGCATTCCCCCGGCCAAAGTCCTTCGGGACATCCGTTAAAATTGGAACGATACACAGAGGATTCGCATGGCGCCTGCGCTAGGATGACACGGATAAATCACGAAAGAGCCGGGGCGCTCTGACTTTTACTCCGCTGTCCTACTTTCGAAGGA